TACCATACTTCCCCCGTGTAACCCTAAACTTTTCATACGAAACATTTTTCTCTATCCCTACTAGTTTTCGAGATATTTGACTGGATCACTTCAGATGGTCCACCCTGTATATTAGTAATTTAAGTTTGAATTATTTTAAAACAATGAAGATCCAGTTTCGACCGTAATAGACATTTTAAATTGCTAATATTTTAAAGTACATATTTGTTAATACTAAAAGCAATCCTTTTTGTGTTTGACATAAACATTTACATATTTTTTATATTGGAATTATTAAAAAATATATTTAATCAAAAATAAAAAATCTCGTTTTACGTTTTTCACTTCATTATATTTTGTATTGATTGGACAGATGGACAGGAAAATGTTACTGGGGTTTTCTGGGAGGTGGAGTCGCAAAGTCTTCCATAAGTAATGTGTGCAACGTCGATAAAATCATTTTACTTAGCCACTTCGAAGATGCAGATGTAAAATCAAAATTATTAAACAGTGGATTCAGGTTAGTGGAAGCAACAGGAGCAGGATACAAGATACTGAGCGTCGCTATTGGACAGGCGGCTGCCTACATCTTGTCGAAGGGTTCCACTTATAAATGGGACACGTGTGGACCACAAGCTCTCCTGTCTTCGGTTGGTGGAAGTATCATCGAATTTAAAGAATTTATTGTGAATCCAGATTCAGACAATCTAAGCGTGAACTATTTACCTATTGGCACAAATTTCTCTAATCGTGCAGGTTTGATAGCATACAGAGATCCTCAAATTTTGGAAAACTTCAAGTGTATTTTATATAAATCTCGTTAATAAGTATGACGTAAGATATATTAATACTAAAGTTTGACATTGAATTAAAAAAAACTTTCATGATCATTATATTACTATTTATGTGTGTGATTATATAAATCAAAATCATACTCTACTCTATAAGTTTCGTGCAAAAACTTCTGAATGCTATTTTCATGGCTGTTTCTTATGCTTATTTTGTGATATTATATGTGGACTTTGATTCAATTGTCCTAAATATTTATTATATAGATAATGTATCTAATAATAAATATGTCCACTAATATTATATTTGTTGATTTGACAAATAGATTTATTTGTTAATTGATGTAATTCTAATTGTTAATTATAATATAATAAATGTGAGTCCAAGTAAGAGAGATCATTTAATTTGTATCAATTATATATATGTTTATTTTTATTTGTATACAATTATCATACAATGCAAAAAAATATATTACACAATATAAAAAAAATTTGGTTAATCATTTATGTTAAACTAGTATATGATAATTATATTTATGTTGTATGGTTTCCATGCAACAATTTAAATAGACATCTGTTACAATATTTATTTAATAAAATCACGTGTTTAAAGGAAAGAGAATGTGGAAGAGAATATAGTGAGAAGAAAAGAGCGCGAATAATACAATAAGTACAGTACTGCAACGATAGGGAGAGAGAAAGGATGAATAAGATAACTATAGAACCGCAATGGATGAGTAAGAGAACTGATGTATACTACAATGAGTTGGAGGAAGAGGACAACAGATTGGAAAGAGAATGCAATGGGTGGGAGAGAGAGAACTGCATACTATAATAGATAGGAGAGGACGAGTTGGAAAGAGAACGCGCAATGTGGTACATGAACTAGTCCAGTAGTTGTGTTGAATTTTTAACATCCGAGTTTAATTTAATATAATATGATTGTGTTATTTGAATATTTTGTGTTAAATTAAAAAATTTAACATTTCTCAGTTAAAATAACACAATTTATAGGTAAGTAAACAAATAACATAAAATATAAATTCTGAGAATAAATAAATAAAGGTTATGCTTTTCGCGGGTTTCCTCCATGTTCAGATCCATTCTAGAAATGCCAACGTTTCATGAACCTTGCAGTCCACTTCATCAGGGCGAGGACAAAACCCGCGAAAAGCATAACTCTTATTTATTTATTCTCAGAATTTATATTTTATGTTATTTGTTTACTTATAAATTGTGTTATTTTAACTGAGAAATGTTAAATTTTTTAATTTAACACAAAATATTCAAATAACACAATCATATTATATTAAATTAAACTCGGATGTTAAAAATTCAACACAACTACTGGACTAGTTCATGTACCACATTGCGCGTTCTCTTTCCAACTCGTCCTCGCTGAGGAGCCACAGAACATATATAAAGAGAAATGTCAATTCCGTGTTAAAGAGGAGGAAACTAAAGACCCTCTAATAGCGTTTTCGGCCCGGCCAGGTTTGCACCAACCTGGGTTTGATTAATGGCGTTTTGTGCTCTCCTATTGGTAGAGCGGGTGACGTCAACCAATAGGAAAGATTTATCCAACCCAGGTTGGTGCAAACCCGATCGAGCCGAAAACGCTATTACAGAGTCTAGCCATAAGGCAAGTGGGCAAAATCCTACGAGAGAGAAGAATATATATCCGTTCTCTTTCTTTTTCAAACCTAACCTAATATCTTTAGAAATTCACGCACGATAACGATTGTCGACATGTCGACTACTCAGTCGTGATCAGTCGTGATAGCCGTTCGTTGTAAAAATGGGTGGGTGTTCAGCCCCATTTTGTAACAACTCCGCAGCGAAAGGTTATAAAATGAAAGCTCTACCAAAAGATCCTGTACGTAGAGCTTTGTGGATAAAAAATATTGCAAATAAGGATTGGACACCAACAAACAACTCTCGTCTTTGTGAGGTTAGCAATCATGTATTACTTTACTATGATGAATAATTAACTGAAATTTCTATGCTTTTCTTACGATTATAATTGAATTGTATAATGTATAATAAAACTACTGTTATGATGTAGGTTCATTTTTCCCCAGAAATGTGGGATGATATAAGCAAACATAAATTAAAACGGGATGCAATACTAACAATTTTTTATTTTTTTTTAAAAAAGCAAATACCAATAAAGGCCATAGAAAATGATGGCAATACTGATTGTGAGAGTAATGTTCTTAAAATAACCAGTAGTACGCAAAGCATTAAGTGTACAAATAAAAAAGCAACTAATAACATTGAAAATGAAAAAACTATTATTGAAACAGTAAGTATTAAAGGAGAAAGAGAAATATATATATAACATATTATAACATGATTTATAGTGTACAATCTTTCCAGGTTATTGTAGATGATATTTCAGGGCCTATGGCTTCGTCAGCAAATATGTCATCCATATCTGACTCTTATGAAAATGAAAAAGAAGAATATAAGAAATATAAACAGCTGGTAAAGAAACAGTATTTACGTTTAATCATTATGAGGAAGAAAATGAAAACTCTGCAGTATAGAAATAGGATTCTGAAAAGCAAAATTGATAATGATAAGTACAAGAAAGCTTTAAGTCACATATTTAATGAAGATAAAAGCGTTATTAAAAAAAATTCGTATTCGAAATTGGTCAAATGCGACAATTCAACGTGCACTGAAATTAAAATTTGCGTGTGGAACTAATTGTTATGAGGAATTACTTTGTCAAGGGATACCACTTCTAGTTTAAGAACATTATCAAGAAAGTTGGAAGACATTAAATTTGAACCTGGAATATTAAATGAAATGTTTGATTTCTTAAAGTACAAAAAATCCTCTTTTAATAAAGAAACAGATTTCGAATGTGGATTAATATTTGATGAAATGGCTATAACATCAAAGAAATGTTATAATCCTGCAACGGAATCATTAATAGGTAATATCACATTTTCTGGTGAAATAGTTATAGCTACGCATGCTCTTGTTTTCATGCTGGTTGATATTTATAATCGATGGAAGTATATAGTGGGGTATCATTTTACAGGAAATAGTTTCAGCAGTAAAACATTACGAAAAATAATATTTCAGATAATTAATAAAGCTGAGGAACTTGGTTTTCGTGTCATTTCATCACCTCGGACATGGGTTTCGGAAATATCGGTCTATGGAAATTGTTAAATATTAGTACTGGTAGATATAGTGAAATAAAGAACAAAATTACTCATCCATTTAATTCCAATCGTTATTTATATATTATCGCTGATCCACCTCACATTTTAAATTTAAAACAAGCATTAATTAATAATGAATCAATAACCATTTCTGACGATAAGCATTAATTAATAATGAATCAATAACCATTTCTTACGGATATAATCCGTAAATATAATTTACCTTCGAATAAGATAGAATCAAAGTATTTTAATGAATTAATTAACATTCAAGAAGATTCTGAATTGCTGTTAACACCTAAATTAACAATAAACGATATTAAAAGCAATAATTTTAATAAAATGAAGGTAAATAAGGCCAAACAGGTATTTTCTCATGACGTAAGTTGTGCATTTGAATTATTAGCATCAGAGATTAACAAACCAGAGTTTATCACCACTCTCTGCATGGTTTGTAAAAATTGTTTGTAAGTGGTTTTCTTTAATGACATCGAGATATTCTAAAATAGCATTAGGTAAAAAAGATACAAATGTATATGAGAAAAATATTGATTTTTTGAACGAAATTATTAATATTTTCACTAAATTAAAAATAGGTAGTAGTGGATTTAAATCCGTACAAAGGAGCATAATGATAAGTACACAGTCCATCTTAGATTTATCTGAATACTTAATTACATATAGAAACTTCGAATACTCGTATGTTTTAACTTCAAGATTTATACAAGATTGTGTTGAAAATATTTTCTCGCAAATTAGACATAAGAATGTTATACCTAATCTACTTCAATTCACTAATGACTTAAAAATAATTGCCATCTCAATGTATATGAAAGATATTTCCAATACTAATTATGATAAAGACGATGGACAGTATTTATCAGGATTTCTTGAATATTTATCAAAAGAAAAGGAAAGTAGCAAATCTGTGATTAATAATATTAATATATGTCAGAATGAGAGAGAGAGAGAGAGAGAGAGAGAGAGAGAG